AGCCTACTGTTCACACATAAAAAACTATCAAAAGAGAAAGCGTACCTTCAATAAATCCAGTTTCAATATCACTGACCAGGGGCTCAAGAAAAGGATCAATACTGTTTGGCTGTGTGTCAAGCAGGTCCTAATTAAAATGGCACAAATCCTACTGTGTAAACTTCATCTGTCTGTAAGCGGTCTTCCTTTGACATTGCTGCCACTGACACATCTATGGCACCTATTCCATAAACAAGTAAATGCTGTGGTTCAAATTTTCTTTAGTTTGAAAGTTTTACAAACCAGATTAATTGGCACTTTCCTTTAGCTCAGATTATAAATACCTGTATTTCAAGTAATAGATCAAACTTGAGGAAGAGTGTTTCATGTGATTTCCAAACACGGAGAAGTAGGTTGGAAAAACTAGGCGCAGCCAAGTTGTTTTTAACCAACCTCAGGGTGTTTAGAAAAAGGAGGAAATGCTGTTTTGAGTGTTTGATATAGCTTCTCAAACCATTGATAATTGTTGGAGAAATTCGAAGGAAAAGTTCACAAAATTTAATGATAATTAAGATCACATTTCTAAACATCCTTCACAGTAGTGATTTCCTTTGTTTTAGCTTGATGAATTATTAATGAGTTTGAGAATGGTTTTGACAAAAGAAAAAATTTCAACAGCTGATTTGAAAAAAATTCAAATCAGAGGAAACCTTGAAACTGCAACAAAATTACATAAGATGTCAGTAGGCAGCACTTAGTGGAGCCAACCAGTCTGGTAACTAAGCTATGCAAAAATTACAGGGAATTGCACTTTAATGTTCTGTCCAAGGGCACCCTTTCAGAAATGCCTGGATCTGCCCCAGAGTGTAAGGAAGTTGACAAAAACTCACAAGTTATCTGACATCTATATCCAGGGTCTTGAGTACTTAGAAAATAATTATTTTGATACAAATTATCTTAATTCTATAAATCATATATACATCTGTGTGTCAGCAGCGTATGTCAGACTTTTCATTCAAGCTGTATCATCAACAATGGGGGCAGTATACTGGGTAAGATTTGAATAGTACATGCAATACAATAATTGCCTTACTAGTGCTGCGTGATTTCTTTCAAAAGGGCTGAAAGCCATCCCAGTGTCCTTAAAATTATACACAATAAAAAATCTATTGTTTTCATTAAATTGAAAGAGAAAAAGGGGTAAAAGCCTAAACAAACATGATTAAAATAGCACCACTTGCATTACAATGGAGGTGGCAATTACAAATAATATTGTTATCTTGACCAAAACAGATAATAAATAAACATAACAAAAATCATACATTTATAAGTCTGTAAGACAGCTAAATGTACATTCACTTTATTATAATTATTATTTTTTAAACATTGAGCATTTTATCATAAACTAACTTACCTATGTAGGCGATGTTTCTTGGGTCACCAATCACAAACACAGGTCGATGAAGAAATTTGGTACAGCAATTCTCACAATACAGTTCTCGATGTCCATCAGGCAGAGTAGGGGCTTGCAATACATCAGCAGCACTCAAAACATTCTTGCAACCATCTCTTTTACATCTTGTGGGCAAACACCAACTACTATCTGGATCCCAGAACCATGCCGGTTCAGCAAATCTAGTTCCATCCCAGACCTCCTTCTTAGTTTCCCAGCCATTTCTATCAATCCAGTGTTCTTTTTCTAACCAATGAGCTTTCATCTTTGAGCACATGTCTGGGTCTGCTGTCCATAGCTTAACTTTTCCATGCAATCCAAGATAGTAATACTTAATGGTTCCTACTACTCCACAGAAGCGACACGTTTCAGTTGCAGACTGCATGATGTCCCAGTGATACTTATGACTCGCACTCAAGCAAATGAAATATTCATGAGCATCCTCATAGCATATATCCTTGAGATATTCTTCTGCTCCTCCCCAGTCCTCCGGCCATGAACATTTCATTTTGTGATCATCTTCATCAATATCTTTCCCTCTGCAGTACATTTGGTGTGCATAGCATAGCAGGTCTGTAAATGTAGCTAGAGAAGCACCTGGTTTTGCACCCAGTTCAATTGCTTCAAAAATGCCCTTTACAATTGCATAATTCAACTTCTGGTCTTCAGTTCCAGTAGCAGCTATTACACTGTCATCCCCACTGTAAAGATGTCCAAACTTATCAGTCTCATCATTTTGATGCTCTAATTCTTGAGTGGTTATTCCAGTGGATGGATCTACATAAAAATTATTGAATTAAATTTAAAACTAATTACTTTTGATGTTCTGAGTGACTCATGATACCCGTTTGGTTTTATTTTGTGTATATGTTGTGGTTCAATTTTATCCATGCTTCCAATTTAGTTTGTTTCAAACTCATTATTATACATTAACATACCCAAAAACAATAGCAAAATAAAATTTGAACTAGGGAAAAAAATTAACCACAAAAAATACATGCAATTGCAAATGGTTACAAGGTCGAAAACTGTCCCTTATGACAGCAATCTGTGCTTCTTTTGTGAACAGAAAGCGAAGTACCAGAACCCTCTGCATTTGTTGTCAACATCATCTGCTGGTAGCTCTCTTGATAATGCAGTAAAGCAATCTAAGGATCCTAAACTGCTCGTGAAGCTCACGACGGCTCTAGACAGCTCTGACGCTCATGCCATTGATATTAAATATCATAAAAGCTGCTGGGCGAGGCATGTGACTGGGGTTTTGCCTAAAACTATCAAAGATGATGAGAGAATGTCAAGAGGTGAGACAGCAGGTAAGCTGAAGTTTTTTAACCTTACCCAAACTGCCCTCAATAGCGGAGAAATACTCAACATGGCACAACTGGAACAGGCTTTTGATTCAATTTCAAACGAGAATAGTTCAAAGACTCTTAGTCGATGTTCAGTTAAGGAGCTTATCCAGAAAGAGATAAAGGGGGTTGACTTCCATAAGCCCACTAGTGGTAATGAGCCCGAGAGGGTCAGCATAAAGCAGGGCAGGGATGCTGCTACCCATATCGTAGAATCATGTTAATCAGACTGAAGAAGGGAGAAAGCTATTCAGTGCTTTTGTACAAGATAAGATCAAGACAGGAAAGATCTTTGGGATTACCGTATTTACCCGTGTATAAGTCGACCTTTTTTGACCAAATTTACACCCTAAAAATTCGACCTCGACTTATACACCGGGTATAAAAATCAACTTCAATTGATTGTTTACGCGTTGCTTATTGACGCTAAAATATCACAAGTCCATTCAATTGCTTTCAATAGGTGTGATATCACACCTTTCTGGTCTNGCCTCCATCATCCAGTATGGTGCCTCCATCCTCCAATATGGAAACAGGGTTTTACCAATCATGGAATCAGGGCTTTCCCTGTCATGAAGCAGGGTTTTACCCATCATTGCAGGGTTCTCAAGGGCCACAACAAACCACCCAGGAAAGCATGTCTGAAGGTTCTTATGGGAACCCTTTCCTTTATGGCAATGGAAAATACCAGACATTGTAGACATAGAGCTTATTAGTTATAATGTGCTCATAACTATTACTTTGACCACAGTTCTTCTCAGGTCTATTTATTGTGTTGCATTGGACAGCATTCTTACTGGTTTTAACTTAAGTTCTTTTTTGCAAGAATAGATTTCTTTTGAACACTTTGAATTAAAAAAAAATGGTTGAATATGGATAAATTTATTTCTACGTTTGTTTCAGTTCAATATGTTGCAAAATGATGATACAGTAACATTTTTTAGTACCGTAGTTTTTTGATTAAATGCCGGGCTTTCAGTAAATGCCTGGTCTCCAAGGTGGAGTTTTAAATAAACCCCTGAAGTATCTATTAGAGGTTAAACAAGGTGCAGATATAATGTAACAATTTATGTCTGTACAAATGTTACCCGTGCCCCATTATAAAGCCATACAAAATTTATGAAGAAATAACCAGAACTTCATGAATAAAGAGCTCAAGCGAGCTTCGGGGGTCAAATAAACCCTAGGTCCACAATGTTTCAAAAAGGTAAATGCCAGGGGTTTTTAATTGAGAAAAGACGGTATATCTGCTGTAGGGCAATTGCAAAATATACATAACAATCAAAGGAGTTTTATTTAACATGAATAAACTACAAGGAAAATGTGTGTATATCAGAAGTAAAATAATTATATGTTGAATGTTTTTTTTTTCAACAATATTTGCAGTACATAAAAATTGAATGTTTAAACTTTATTTTTCTATTAATATTAAATTTATGAAAGTCATCTTTCATTGTTGTTTCAGAACATAAATGCAATTAAAAGCAATTTACCATTTAAGCTGCATAGTCAATGGACAAGTTCTCCTTACTGGTCTCTTTGTTTCCTTTAGTATTAGTTGGGAGAATTTTTAATTATTCAAGGGGATGTCTATTTGCTGATCACTTCCTTAATTCTCACAACCTTTTTATGACTGGATTGACACTGTGAAGAAAAAATTTGATCTTGACAACAATGAAATCGAAGAGGGGATGAAACTTTTCCTTTGGTACCCTCAACAAGCAGTAATTTTTGTGAAGTGGCTCAACATTTTTCTCCAAGATTGAAGATCTTAGTGGGCACCCATATAAAGGGAATAATGCAAAGTTTATCCAATTATTCCAATACTTAAAATGTGGGACCCAAAATAACTTATAACAACAAAATTGCCACCATCAAATTAACATCAAAATCAATTTCACTGCACATAGACCACATATGCTCTACCACAATATAACCAACGGAAAACACAAGATCTAACTATAAACAACCTAGTATTATCATTAACAGTTCTTTTTTACTGAACATGGCTGACTTTCATGTGGTGTCTCTGTCAGTGCTGCTGATCAGATTGAATGTATAGCCTGCAAGGCAGCCAGACATGTATTAAACAGCAACAACAACAACGAAAAAAAGAAACAGCTGTTTAGTTTGTCTGCGCTGCAGGCTAATTAAATCTTGCACTTGATACAATCATATGAAAATAATTTGGTGAAAATAGTAAATGTATCAGTACTGAATTAACAGACTTTGCCAGTTTCCTTCTCAAGCCATAGTTTTTCACATAGTGCATTCCTTACTTTTTTTGCCTCCAGTGACACATCTCTGATGCTTGAACAATTTCTCATCTGCAACAGTTTTCTTATTTCCTCACGATTTCTCTTTTGACCATTTGCATCCAAACTCAAATCAAGCTTTTTTGAAATGGCATCTCCTCGTGCAATGCATATATTGTGGAGAACCATACATGCCAATGTTGTTAAGCGGACATTATCTTGACTGCTTTCACTCTTTCGGAGTAGGACCCTCCACCTACCCTTGAGCTGCCCATAAGCACCCTCTGTAACCATGCGAGCTCTGCTTAAGCGGTAATTAAAGTAACGTTGCTTGGGGGTCAGAATTGCATTAGTATATGGTTTCATCAACCATGTTCGTAGAGGGAATGCAGAGTCCCCCACTACAAGTGGTGGAACAGTAACATCTCCTACAGTTTTTCCAATTACTGGAATGAGGCCTTCTTGGATACGGGTCCAAAGGTCGGTTGATCTAAAAATAACTGCGTCGTGAGAATTTCCTGGAAACCCGCAGCTACCCCACACAAATCTGTAATGTGAGTCTACCATTGCCATCAGTACAATGGAATAGAAATTTTTAAAGTTATGGTACTCTTTGCATGACTGAAGTCCTCCAGGCGGGCATTTCATAGGAATATGGCAGCCATCCGATGCTGTCCAACAGCATGGAAATTGCCAGAATTCTTCCATGTCAAGAATTTTTTGTTTAAACTCTTCTTCAGTTTGGGGCATGTGACTTGACACATTCTCGTTCCATAAATGGTCCACCAAGACTTGACAGACTTCCTGACAAATTGAGGAAATTGTGGAGACGCCTAGTCCAGACATTTCGGCGATGGTATAGAAATAATCTCCTCGGCTTAGTCTATACAGACAAATAGCAAGCCTCAGCGCTGGTGATATCGGTTCTTCCGTCACAGTTTGCCGAATAAGGAAGGGTTCAATACGTCTCAGGATGAAATTAAATGTCCCCCTAGATACTCTGAAGGTTTTTTTGAATCTTGCGTCTGAATAGATGTTGCAAACATTTTGCCACCAGCCAGAATTTCTTTTTAGCCGACGACACGAACGAACTGGACGAGGAACTGTGACGTTCCTATGGGAAATAAGCAATAATACAAGGCAAGCCAAATTCAAAACTCGTCTTCTCCTGGCAGCAAGGTTGTTTAATGCCAACTGCATCTTAAGTCGCCTTTTTCTACCCTCCTTGATCGCATTTGCAAGAAAAACAAGCTCTTCATTTCCAGCATTTGTATTTGCCACATTTTTTTCCGCCATTTTGGTAAGCAATAACCGCTGACCGCAGTAGAGTCATGTTCAGTTTCTCAATTAAGTTCGACATATTTAGGTTCGACGTTTGAATCAACTGCCGAACCTAATTATTCGAGTCGACCCGAATTGCTATTAGGTTCGGCACATGTAAAGTTCGACGTTTGAACCGGGCCTTACCTACCAACTGCGCTCGACTTATAAATATCCTGATGTGATTATGCAACAGTTCAGTTGGCCTCAGGCCTTGCTCTTCTAAGCTCCTCTTCCCATTAAATGTATAGCTTTAAATATATACTTGGCCTTCACTCTTCTTTTTCACCTCCAAAAATCGCACATGGTGTCAGGAGTGGGATCCTACAGCAGAAACAAGAAGTAGCGGAAAAGAAAGTTGTTTCCCACCTCATTTCACATCGCGTGAATGAATTCAAATGCTCAAGATCCAAACGAAGAAATATTCGAGGAATCAAGCACGCCAGTCACGTCACCACCCACAGACCCAGTGGAACTGAGTTCTTCAACGGCTTCATTACAGACGGATAACCCACAAAGTGGAAGCGTGAAAATGGCGCCAGCAAATTTCAATATTCCTCCTCTGGCTAAGTTTGATCCGAAAACAGACGATTGGGACCACTAGATAGAGCGCTACAAGTTATTTGAAGCAGCTACAGAACGTGATGGCCTGTCAGATAAAGTGCGCATTAGTACACTTATGTATGTAATGGGAAATAATGCCGCCGACATCTATGATAGTTTCAAACTGTCCTGTGAAGATATCCAGTATGCAAATGTGAAACAAAAATTCAAAGATCATTTTAAAGGAAAAGTTGCTGTAGTCTTCGAGATAACATAGTTCGTAAGACGCTTTCAGCAAGACAAAGAATCTGTCGTCACCTTTATTGAAGATCTTCAGAGAAGAGTCGACCTCTGCTCTATTGGAGACTTTCCTGACCAAATGGTGCACACTCAAATAATTGCTGGTTTGCGTGATTCTCATCTCAGGCGTGGATTGATGGCAAATGACAATTTAACTCTGGATCAGGTAATTAAAGAAGTTAAATCCGCCGAAATCACGAAACATCAAGATCAAATTCTTCAAAATCCCTCAAGTGCTGCTGACATGTCGGCAATACATGACAGGAAAGTTCCAGAAAACAAACGTAGAAGTCCAAAACCCAAGCATTATGGAGTTTCTTCGAAAGCAAAGAAAAAATCACGTTACAGATGCGGAGCTCAGCCAGGTCACCTTCCTCAGCATTGCCCAACCAAAGATGCTACCTCAATGCATGCAACAAAAAGGGTCACTATTCCAAGGTCTGCAAATCCTCAAAACAAGTCCATATAGTTAATGATGATTCGGGGGAAGATGATATCTCTGTAATGACCGGCAACGAAGTCGTTAACACAATCGAAACATCGGAGAAATGGCATACAAATCTATCGATAGAAAACTCCGAAGTAAATTTCAAGATTGATACAGGTGTGGATGTCACAGTTATTCCTGAAGAAGTCTTTCGCCAATGCAACTTAGGAAAACTACATTACACCTCCAAAAGACTCTTTGGAGCGGATCACAAGGGTCTCTGTGTAATAGGGACAATTCGTGACACTTTATCCCTGGGAGAAAAGTGCGTGACCGAAGATATTTACGTTGTTAAAGGCCTAAAAGAGCCTCTTCTGGGGCAGCCAGCGATTCAAAAGCTAAATCTATTGGCTCGAATCAATGAAATCCAAAGTCAAAGCTACGAAGAAAGTATTAAAGCGAAATATCCTCAACTGTTCCATGGACTGGGAGAACTTGAGGGAGAATATGAAATCAAGTTGAAGTCAGACGCTCAACCGTTTGCCATCATGACCCCACGACGTGTTCCATTACCAATGAAAAGCAAAGTAAAGGAAGAGCTTGCCCGAATGGAGAAGCTAGGAGTAATCAGAAAGGTTGACAAGCCTACAAATTGGTGCGCTGGAATGGTGACAGTACCTAAACCAAACGGGAAAATCCGAATATGTGCGGATCTGACCAAGCTCAATGAAAACGTTTGCCGTGAAACTTATCCACTTCCAAAGATTGAGGCCTTGCTAGGTGAAATTGGCTTCACGCTCTATGATGTCTACTGAACAAAGATACGCTCAGATAGAGAAAGAAGCACTCTCAACTACTTGGGCTTGCGAAAAGTTTGCCGACTTTGTCCTCGGTAAAGAGTTCCTTATCGAAACGGATCACAAACCGTACGTGGTGTTACTAAGCTCAAAATGTCTCCAGGACATGCCACCACGTATTCAAAGGTTCTGGACACGACTTATGCGCTACTCATACCAAATAGTCCATGTACCCGGAAAAGACCTCACCAAAGCTGATACCTTTTCAAGAGCACTACTTCACCGAAGTCTCACGAAAGAGGAGAAGAAACTTAACGAAGTTTTAAACCTCTATGTCTCACACATAGTAGAATGCCTGCCCACTACAGAGCCGCTTGCAAGAAATACGCCATCATCAGGACGAAGACGAAGTCTGTTCAAAGCTTAAACTGTTCTGCAGTGAAGGCTGGCCAGAGAAACATCACTTGAATTGTTCACTCCAACCATACTGGTAGTACTGGGCAGAAATCACAGTTCAGCAGGGGATCCTAATGAAAGATGACAGAGTCATAATTCCTTCAGCATTAAGGCTCGATGTATTAGACAATATACACACCGGTCCTCAAGGCATCCAGAAATGCCGTGAAAGAGCGAAAAGTGGTGTCTGGTGGCTGAATCTCAGCAAGCAGATAGAAGATCTTGTCAGGGAATGCCCTACTTGTATCAAGACGAAAACTAATCATGCAGAGCCCATGATTCTTACACAGTTAGCTGAGTGTCCATTCCAAAAAGTAGGAACCGATCTATTCGAATGGAAAGGGCAGGAATTTGTCCTTGTGGTAGAATACTTCTCGCGGTATTGAGAGATTGGAGTACATCGAAAAGCCACCTCTCAAGAAGTAATCAATCACTTAAAAGCGATTTTCGCACGCCATGGAATTCCAGAAATCGTGATCTCCGATAACAGACCAAAGTATTCCTCAGCGGAATTCACCAAATATGCAGAAAACTGGGAATTCACAAACATTACAAGTAGTCCAAAATACCCCCAAAGCAACGGAGAAGCTGAACGCATGGTGCAAACAACTAAAAACCTCCTTACAAAATCTGATGATCCGTATGAACCACTACTCGCTTACAGAGCTACTCCACTGGAAAACGGATTCAGCCCAGCCGAACTATGCATGGGATGGCGACTTCGCACCACCCTTCCAACTAATCCGTCTAAACTAACAACACAATGGCCAGAGTTAACGACATTGCGTGAAAAGGAAACCAAGATTAAGACTGAGCAAATGAAAGAGTACATCCAACACCATGCAGTTAAAGAGCTCAGTAATCTGTTGCCAGGAGATCGTGTTTACATCCCTGATCGCAAAGAGAATGCAGTAGTAGTATCGAAAACACCACAGCCACGTTCCTACTACCTCGACACTGATAGCAACGCAACTGTTAGAAGAAACAGACATTAACTCAATCCAAATCCTAAAGAAGCAAAGTACACAACGAAAACCCTCCACATGATCCTCCAGAAACTTCCAAGAAACAGCCACCTGTTCCGGCAGAGAAGAACGAAGCTTTTCTGTGTGCCCAAAAGTCTTCCATTCCAGTTCCCGTTCCTGGAACCACTACTCGTTCTGGAAGAAAGGTCAACCTGCCCAAAAGATTAGGTTTTGATTAGGACTGAATGAACATTTGCTATTAGTTTCATGATCAAATTACTTAATGGACTCGCTTTCCATTATTAAAAGACTGCACAGAGACATTCTTAAAATATCGAAATGTCTAGAAAGGGGGATGTGGAGTTAACCCTTAATCCTCTTACCTACCAACTGCGGTCGACTTATATATCCTGATGTGATTATGCAACAGTTCAGTTGACCTCAGGCATTCCTCTTGTAAGCTCCTCTTCCCATTAAATGTATAGCTTTAAATATATACTTGGCCTCCACTCTTCTTTTTTGCCTCCGATAATCGCACAAGATCAACCTCTGGGCTCCTGTAAAGAAGCGCAATCTTCTTACCTGGAAAACGAGTGCTAAGGTCATCAAAGTCAAAGCTAAAGACATGATCATCGAGTTAAAGGAGGACAGAAATCTGTTTGCTAGTTTGGTGATAGTGTGCAAGAGCCACCCAGAAATTGAAATCCAAGAGGCTGTTGGCTTATATGAGTTCACTGTTGTCCCAAGATCTTTGTTTGCACGAGATGGTACCATGTTGCATTGTTCTTGCAAGAGTGCCCTTAAGCATATCCTAGAGAAGGCAGGTGGCCCTAGTACTAATACACAAGAAATCACCGCAGGATTCAAAGTCACGATTGTTCATGGAATGGCCAAAGTCCAATCACTTGACAAGCCAGAGTGGATCGAGAACTGTAGAGACTTGGCTGAACATTTCACGAATCGTTTGCTTGTAAGGTATTCTTGCTTTTCACTCAGGTGACCAACTCCTTGACAACGGTTACGGTCCGCCATCTTTGAGTACAGCTTTGCCTAACAACCAACTATTCAAACGCAACTCAAATTCGGAAAGAGCTTTTCAGTTCTTTTTGCGATGGTTCTCTGCTTAATGATCAATTGCCATAATCGCACTGGCCGAGATAAAGATATCAAGTTCTATGTTGTGCCATCGATTATCAAAAATCAAGGCGAAAAGGCCGAAGAATTGTCTATCGAACGGCGAACAAGATGGCTTTCCGCCATTAGCCGTGACAAACTTTCCGAGTCAGTCTTGCGACATGATCGCGTCTGTAGTCGCCACTTCGTATCAGGAAAGCCTGCAGCAAGTTGGGATAAATACAACGTTGATTGGGTGCCCACTTTGAATCTTGGACATTCAAAGAAACAGCGAGACGACGAGCGACAACTTCGAGATACTGAAAGAGCCGAAAGAGGGAAATTGCGACGTAAACGACAACACGAAGAAACACTTCAAGCCTCTGCTGCCAAAATACTCAAGTTAGATGAGCCAGGTGAACAAGTAAAAGACATTTTTGCGAACAGTTCTCTGAACGAAAATGTTGAGGATGTTGCTAGCCACTTTGAAACGTTGAGTGTGGCCGACGTAGAAGCCAATAAAAATGAAACCGTAAAATGTGATCAAGCTGAATCAAGCACTCAGACAGACGAGTTTGAATATTTGTTCAGCTCAAAATGCTCTTGCAAAGCACCTTTTGACGCTGATGATATGACAGATGACGAAAAAGTAAGGTTTTACACTGGTCTTACCGAAGCTAAAACTCTCCAACTTGTTTTCGAGCATGTCTCACCCTTTGTTACGCGTAAATCGAAATCTCTCTCTAAATTCCAAGAGATGGTCATGTCACTGATGAAAAATCGAATTAACGTCCCATATCAAGATCTTTCATACCGTTTTGGAGTATCAGTGTCAACGGTCTACAGAATTTATACTACCTGGATGGAAGTTATGGATGCTCGACTCTCACCATTGATTTACTGGCCAGAGCGACATGAACTATGGCACACAATGCCCAAATGTTTTCAATCTGCATTTGGAAATAGAACCACAGTAATTATCGACTGCTTTGAGATTTTCATTGAGCGCCCTACGAATCTTCTTGCAAGGGCACAGACATTTTCATCCTACAAGCACCACAACACCATCAAGGTACTCATTGGTATCACCCCCCAAGGGACAATTTCATTCTTGTCAAATGCTTGGGGAGGCAGAACCTCTGACAAATATTTAACTGAAAATTGTGGTCTGCTGAATAAGCTTCTTCCTGGAGATATGGTAATGGCAGATAGGGGATTTACTGTTGAAGAAAGTGTGGCTTTTAAAAGAGCTGAACTGGTGATACCTGCTTTTACTAAAGGAAAAACACAACTAGACCCTATCGACGTAGAAAAGACAAGGGAAATTGCCCATGTCAGAATTCACGTTGAGAGAGTGATTGGGCTTCTACGCAGAAAGTATACCATTTTGGAGGGAATTCTTCCAACAGACTTTTTATCCACTAGTTCTAAGGATCAATCTCCATTGATTGATCAGATTCTAAGGGTTTCAGCTGCACTTACAAACTTATGTCCCCCAATTGTACCATTTGACTGATCATCGATGAACATTTAGGAAATTAGTTTACCTGTGTGGGTACGTAATCAGATCAATATCAATATTATCTAGAAATATTTATCATATATGTAACTATTCATGAAACGTTTAGGTCAAGTAGAATATAATAGAATGGCAGTTATATTTATAATGTTATTATGATTGCTTGGAGATACAGATTTTATTTTCTCAGGAAAAAAGATCTCACAAGTGGTGAGTTTTCATCTAGGGTGGTTATTTGTCCCAAGCTATACCATATTTCCCTTGAACTTGACAGTAAATTTAAACAATTTTAGAATATTTATACTATATACTTTTCTCCAAGTCTCTTGCTTAGGTCTAAGAATTCACAACTACTAAAAACAGTAACTTCTGGGTATGCTATTTGTCTGACCAATCTGTGCCATAGTTACATTCAATTTTACATTTTAAATCAGTCTGATTTCAGAAACATCTTATTTGAAAATCGTAAAAAGCAAACAGTACATAGTGAGACATGATGAGATTACTAATTGATTAATCCAATTAATTGCTATTTCACTATTTTCCAATTAATGATGGTTTTTCACCATTTTTGAGTACGGCAACATTTCTGAAAGCAGATGCATTTGTTTAAGTCTTGCTACTTATGTCTCAGAATAACTGAAAATCTGAAGCTTTAATGATTTAATTGCAATCAAAAACTAGGGAACATTGTAATAACTCCATCTTTAAGACACTGAAGCAGGTGTGGCCGCATTCTTGTTATGTCAAAAGTAAAGTCTTCTGGTTTGTAACCATGCACTAAGCAGGCTGCAAATGCAATGGCAAAAACGCCACAGTCACTCCCATTAAGCTGCTGTTGTACAGGAACATTAGTTATTCCTGTAAAGCTGTCTGCCATCATGTTCTCAACCTGCTCCCTGACTTCCATTTCTATGATATCATGGTACAGGCTATCATAAAGTCTAACCTCTCCAGGCTGACATCCAATTGAGCCAATGCACACCCAGTGAAAACTACCCGTGTGCAGAATTTGTACAAACTCACTAGTAATAATACTGAAGTTTCTACATGGGCCCAATGTTGTTCTTTGGAACCCTTCAATTAAAGGATTGACTTTCTTAAGGCATATCTGTGCTTGCTGGATGATTGTACAATCAAGATAGCCATTACTGGACATTATGATCTCAAAATGTTCTTGAGTTAAATCACCAAGAGGTGCCAATTTATCAGTGTTCCCTTTGGTTTCTTTAATGATCTCAGCCTCATCATCACTTGAATTTTGACTATCATCAATTATTGGAGAAACTACATGATTAACTGGCTCAGATTGCTGTGAAGTACCTGGAGCACAAGTGGTAGGTTGGTGATTAGATGCCTTGTAAACATCTGTTTTGGTACCTGTGACTAAGGGTTGAAAATCACTGAGAGGTGCCAATTTGTCAATGTTCTCTTTGGTTTCTTTAATGATCTCAGGCTCATCATCACTTGAATCTTGACGATCATCAATTATTGGAGAAACTGCATGATTAACTGGCTGAAGTTGCTGAGAAGTACAAGTGGTAGGTTGGTTATTGGGTGTCTTGTAAACATCTGTTTTAGTGCCTGAGACTGCAGGCTGATAATTTCCATTAACTTTGCAGCTGCTACACATCCAGTTAGTTTGCCAATTGTTAGGCATTCTTTTGTAATGCAAACAATCAAGGTGGAAAAATTGTCCATTCTTACATTCATTATTGTGACACTTGATTAGTCTGTCAGTCCTTGTTGCCTTTTTGCCACAGATGCAAACACTAGTGCGACTCAATGCTTTTTCATCGTTAGAATTATTATTGCACACCTTGCTACCCCTCTTTGGCTTTTGGAATTTAGGAAGTAGACAGCAAGTTGGGCAATACCATGTTTTAGGAATTGCCTCAGTAATACGCAAACAAGAATAATGAAATTTCTTGATATTGCAATCTTTATTGCTGCATTCAAGAACTCTTTCATCCAATTTCTTTCGACAGTAGCAAATCCCATCTGGGTCAATAGTGCAGGCAATACCAGGTAAATGTTGTTTTCTGGTGTACCATCTTGATGTCAGCTCAGGTAATACACATATTCTCCAAGTCTGGGTTAACTTGGGAACAACAACATCCCAATGCTCTGGATTTGGCATTATTCTCTCTACAAAGATAATGGGACCAGATTCTGAGAAAGAACAAACTACAAAGTCACAATATTTGCATTCTGTGATGAGCAGTTGTTGTTGTACCTGGAAATAATATTGATGGTCCCTCTTCAATTGTAGCTCTCCATCAACTAGTTGAAGACAAGATGATTTCTTTTGAAAGTAACTATCAAAGTCACCATTCTTCAGGCTAAAGGGGCACTTGACCTCTCCACACCCATCACCGCAACAAGAACAAGTAACCAAAAAGTCAGGAGTTGCGTGCAGCCATGGTCTGCTTTTGTCGATAAACATTCCACACTTGGACACATTAAAATCTTTATGCTTCCCTGATACTGCTTTTGTGTAGGCATCAATAGCCTTGGCTTCATTTTTGTTCCCATACAAAGTTGCCTCAGTTGTCACTTTAAATAGCTGAGGATAACAAATGGTTTTCACCAATGATATCGATGGTTGTGCTGCAATTGTATGGAAAACGGTATGACTTTGGGACGCTCCAATTCTACCTGCTCGGTGAATAAAAAATGCAGATGTTCGTGACTGTTCTCGGGTGTCCTCCTCAATAGTTTCTATCTCTGCTTCCGAGAGAGATATGTCAATTTCAGAGCATTTAGTTAGCAAATCAACATAGTTCAACTTTAAGTTTTCAGGATCAAACAGGTCACTGAGGGTAGGAATCCGCCGGCTTTTCAACATAAAGCTATCAGCATAAGGTGAAATAAGACTAAGAATAACAGGCTTGTTTTTACATTCATTTAACTTGCGGAAAAGATCGCCAATTTCTTGGTCAGATGGTTTACACTCTGCTGATTTTGACGGCGCTTTGTTTTGGCTGGATTGGCTATCAACGTTGAACTGGCCTTCGTCGATTTTCTTGTCAAGTTCAACTTTCATTCGCCTAGCTGATCTAAAATCTATGTCCTTAACTTTGGAATAGGGCACTTCTTTCACGTACGTTGGTAACAACCAGGTACATTTGACCTGAGTGCAGGCANCGTAAATCGAAATCTCTCTCTAAATTCCAAGAGATGGTCATGTCACTGATGAAAAATCGAATTAACGTCCCATATCAAGATCTTTCATACCGTTTTGGAGTATCAGTGTCAACGGTCTACAGAATTTATACTACCTGGATGGAAGTTATGGATGCTCGACTCTCACCATTGATTTACTGGCCAGAGCGACATGAACTATGGCACACAATGCCCAAATGTTTTCAATCTGCATTTGGAAATAGAACCACAGTAATTATCGACTGCTTTGAGATTTTCATTGAGCGCCCTACGAATCTTCTTGCAAGGGCACAGACATTTTCATCCTACAAGCACCACAACACCATCAAGGTACTCATTGGTATCACCCCCCAAGGGACAATTTCATTCTTGTCAAATGCTTGGGGAGGCAGAACCTCTGACAAATATTTAACTGAAAATTGTGGTCTGCTGAATAAGCTTCTTCCTGGAGATATGGTAATGGCAGATAGGGGATTTACTGTTGAAGAAAGTGTGGCTTTTAAAAGAGCTGAACTGGTGATACCTGCTTTTACTAAAGGAAAAACACAACTAGACCCTATCGACGTAGAAAAGACAAGGGAAATTGCCCATGTCAGAATTCACGTTGAGAGAGTGATTGGGCTTCTACGCAGAAAGTATACCATTTTGGAGGGAATTCTTCCAACAGACTTTTTATCCACTAGTTCTAAGGATCAATCTCCATTGATTGATCAGATTCTAAGGGTTTCAGCTGCACTTACAAACTTATGTCCCCCAATTGTACCATTTGACTGATCATCGATGAACATTTAGGAAATTAGTTTACCTGTGTGGGTACGTAATCAGATCAATATCAATATTATCTAGAAATATTTATCATATATGTAACTATTCATGAAACGTTTAGGTCAAGTAGAATATAATAGAATGGCAGTTATATTTATAATGTTATTATGATTGCTTGGAGATACAGATTTTATTTTCTCAGGAAAAAAGATCTCACAAGTGGTGAGTTTTCATCTAGGGTGGTTATTTGTCCCAAGCTATACCATATTTCCCTTGAACTTGACAGTAAATTTAAACAATTTTAGAATATTTATACTATATACTTTTCTCCAAGTCTCTTGCTTAGGTCTAAGAATTCACAACTACTAAAAACAGTAACTTCTGGGTATGCTATTTGTCTGACCAATCTGTGCCATAGTTACATTCAATTTTACATTTTAAATCAGTCTGATTTCAGAAACATCTTATTTGAAAATCGTAAAAAGCAAACAGTACATAGTGAGACATGATGAGATTACTAATTGATTAATCCAATTAATTGCTATTTCACTATTTTCCAATTAATGATGGTTTTTCACCATTTTTGAGTACGGCAACATTTCTGAAAGCAGATGCATTTGTTTAAGTCTTGCTACTTATGTCTCAGAATAACTGAAAATCTGAAGCTTTAATGATTTAATTGCAATCAAAAACTAGGGAACATTGTAATAACTCCATCTTTAAGACACTGAAGCAGGTGTGGCCGCATTCTTGTTATGTCAAAAGTAAAGTCTTCTGGTTTGTAACCATGCACTAAGCAGGCTGCAAATGCAATGGCAAAAACGCCACAGTCACTCCCATTAAGCTGCTGTTGTACAGGAACATTAGTTATTCCTGTAAAGCTGTCTGCCATCATGTTCTCAACCTGCTCCCTGACTTCCATTTCTATGATATCATGGTACAGGCTATCATAAAGTCTAACCTCTCCAGGCTGACATCCAATTGAGCCAATGCACACCCAGTGAAAACTACCCGTGTGCAGAATTTGTACAAACTCACTAGTAATAATACTGAAGTTTCTACATGGGCCCAATGTTGTTCTTTGGAACCCTTCAATTAAAGGATTGACTTTCTTAAGGCATATCTGTGCTTGCTGGATGATTGTACAATCAAGATAGCCATTACTGGACATTATGATCTCAAAATGTTCTTGAGTTAAATCACCAAGAGGTGCCAATTTATCAGTGTTCCCTTTGGTTTCTTTAATGATCTCAGCCTCATCATCACTTGAATTTTGACTATCATCAATTATTGGAGAAACTACATGATTAACTGGCTCAGATTGCTGTGAAGTACCTGGAGCACAAGTGGTAGGTTGGTGATTAGATGCCTTGTAAACATCTGTTTTGGTACCTGTGACTAAGGGTTGAAAATCACTGAGAGGTGCCAATTTGTCAATGTTCTCTTTGGTTTCTTTAATGATCTCAGGCTCATCATCACTTGAATCTTGACGATCATCAATTATTGGAGAAACTGCATGATTAACTGGCTGAAGTTGCTGAGAAGTACAAGTGGTAGGTTGGTTATTGGGTGTCTTGTAAACATCTGTTTTAGTGCCTGAGACTGCAGGCTGATAATTTCCATTAACTTTGCAGCTGCTACACATCCAGTTAGTTTGCCAATTGTTAGGCATTCTTTTGTAATGCAAACAATCAAGGTGGAAAAATTGTCCATTCTTACATTCATTATTGTGACACTTGATTAGTCTGTCAGTCCTTGTTGCCTTTTTGCCACAGATGCAAACACTAGTGCGACTCAATGCTTTTTCATCGTTAGAATTATTATTGCACACCTTGCTACCCCTCTTTGGCTTTTGGAATTTAGGAAGTAGACAGCAAGTTGGGCAATACCATGTTTTAGGAATTGCCTCAGTAATACGCAAACAAGAATAATGAAATTTCTTGATATTGCAATCTTTATTGCTGCATTCAAGAACTCTTTCATCCAATTTCTTTCGACAGTAGCAAATCCCATCTGGGTCAATAGTGCAGGCAATACCAGGTAAATGTTGTTTTCTGGTGTACCATCTTGATGTCAGCTCAGGTAATACACATATTCTCCAAGTCTGGGTTAACTTGGGAACAACAACATCCCAATGCTCTGGATTTGGCATTATTCTCTCTACAAAGATAATGGGACCAGATTCTGAGAAAGAACAAACTACAAAGTCACAATATTTGCATTCTGTGATGAGCAGTTGTTGTTGTACCTGGAAATAATATTGATGGTCCCTCTTCAATTGTAGCTCTCCATCAACTAGTTGAAGACAAGATGATTTCTTTTGAAAGTAACTATCAAAGTCACCATTCTTCAGGCTAAAGGGGCACTTGACCTCTCCACACCCATCACCGCAACAAGAACAAGTAACCAAAAAGTCAGGAGTTGCGTGCAGCCATGGTCTGCTTTTGTCGATAAACATTCCACACTTGGACACATTAAAATCTTTATGCTTCCCTGATACTGCTTTTGTGTAGGCATCAATAGCCTTGGCTTCATTTTTGTTCCCATACAAAGTTGCCTCAGTTGTCACTTTAAATAGCTGAGGATAACAAATGGTTTTCACCAATGATATCGATGGTTGTGCTGCAATTGTATGGAAAACGGTATGACTTTGGGACGCTCCAATTCTACCTGCTCGGTGAATAAAAAATGCAGATGTTCGTGACTGTTCTCGGGTGTCCTCCTCAATAGTTTCTATCTCTGCTTCCGAGAGAGATATGTCAATTTCAGAGCATTTAGTTAGCAAATCAACATAGTTCAACTTTAAGTTTTCAGGATCAAACAGGTCACTGAGGGTAGGAATCCGCCGGCTTTTCAACATAAAGCTATCAGCATAAGGTGAAATAAGACTAAGAATAACAGGCTTGTTTTTACATTCATTTAACTTGCGGAAAAGATCGCCAATTTCTTGGTCAGATGGTTTACACTCTGCTGATTTTGACGGCGCTTTGTTTTGGCTGGATTGGCTATCAACGTTGAACTGGCCTTCGTCGATTTTCTTGTCAAGTTCAACTTTCATTCGCCTAGCTGATCTAAAATCTATGTCCTTAACTTTGGAATAGGGCACTTCTTTCACGTACGTTGGTAACAACCAGGTACATTTGACCTGAGTGCAGGCAAGTTTTCCGTGTATTCGTGTCCACGCTTCGATATAAAATAATACACTTGCGATATGTGAACACGATTCTCCTAAACCAGCAAGACAATTAAAGCAATGAGCGGACGCAATTACTCCTTCTTTATTGGCAATGATCCATACTTTGATAGGTGGATCGTTCATTCTTTGCGATCGACGAACCTTACCAATGACAACAAACATATCTGCGATAACTCTTCCTTGAACGCTCGTTACAAACCCTGAGACCACTTGATTGTATGCCTCCAAACTTTTAAAGTTCTTAAACTGGTTTAGTGTGTAGTAGCTTGTTTCTAAAACAAGGTAAGATACAAGATCCCCGGCTTCTATCGGGGGAAGACATTCTGGATCGAAGTGTGAAGTATCGAGCGTAGAGGGATCGATGCCTATTACTGCAATTTTTTCCACATAACGGCATCGCACGTGGTTATCTAGGCCTTTTACATATTCAGATAAGACGAGTGAGGATTTTTCTACTGTATTCTGTTCTTTTACAAGTGTGTTTTTGCTAGAATCGCTCAAAAAACTGTCCGACATTAAGTCAAAATACTAAGCACGTGAGGCGAGTTCACATATGCAAATGAGCTACCTGTACTCAAAGATGGCGGACAGTAAATCGATGACGTCATATGAAAAGCAAGAATAATGATTTACAAGAGCTCCACATAATCTTCGACAAATATGATGTATACCATCCTCACTGAAATCAGCAACACGAGTCAAACGACAAGGTGGCCATGCTCCCATTTCTTATTGCATCACTGATTCTACCCACATCGCCAAGGTGCCGATGAAGAAGCTTCCTGCCCCATTCAAAGACCAATGGTGAACTTACTATGTTTCTCGCAAAGAATGTGAAGGATAATGCTAACGGGAGCCAAGTCGTCCTGGCATGGGGAACGGAATGTGAGGCAACGCAAAGAGATGTCAGGCATTTACAAAGTACACAAGAAGCCGACACGAAGATTATTTTACATGCTCTGGATGCCTCTGCTCAAGCTGCTACCCAACTCTTTATATCGTTTCCT